CCCCTGTGCTCCATATCACCACGTGTACCCCTGTGCCCCTCCATATCGCCAAGTGTACCCCTGTGCTCCTCCATATCACCAAGTGTACCCCTGTGCTCCTCCATATCACCAAGTGTACCCCTGTTCTCCATATCACCAAGTGTACCCCTGTGCTCCTCCACATCAAGTGTACCCCTGTGCCCCTCCACATCACCAAGTGTACCCCTGTGCTCCTCCACATCACCAAGTGTACCCCTGTGCTCCTCCATATCACCAAGTGTGCCCCTCCATATCACCAAGTGTACCCCTGTGACATGTAAGTTTGTCGGTTAGGGACCCCACCAATCCCTGTCTCCCGTCCGTGCCGCCGCAGTTATTAATGCCGCGAGACATCTATTGAATACAATCCTGACACGTCGGGGGGCCACGACTGTCTGCCAGCACAAGGAGCGTTGCATGCCGTGCAGAGCGCGGCCTTTAATATGGAGTTGGCGAAACATCAATATTTCCATCACGCAGCCGTTCCCGGAATTAGAATTCACAGCGCGGCGGAATGATGAGCGTCACGCAGGTGCATTGATGTATGGGTATTGAAGGTGAAGGGGCGCTAATCAGTGTCACACACAGAGGAGACGAGGGGGCTCAAATAAAGGTGACACATGGGGGCAGTGGGGGCGGGAGAATGGCGCGCGATGGATTTGGCACCGGGGGAAATAAGGATGAGCTAATGAACGGGAAATGTGAGATGGGAAGGACGCAGAATGGTGGGATAACCACAGATACAGTAATGACACACAGGCAGGCAAAGGGGGGTGCAGAAGAATGTGACACACAGGCAGGCAAAGGGGGGTGCAGAAGAATGTGACACACAGCAAAGGGGGGGGATGCAGATAAATGTGACACACAGCAAAGAAGGGGGGTGACACCTATGCGACACACAGCAAAGGAGGGGTGACACCAATGAATGTGACACATGGCAAAGGGGCACTAATTAGTGTTACACGCAAGCAGCTGCTAGAGGGAGACTAATGAGCAGATGGGGGGAGCTGAGGGGACACTAATCAATGTGACACACAGTGCGGCTGTCAAAGGGGACACAATTAAATATTGCTCTCAGAGAGACCATGGAAAGCTAATTATCCTGATGGACAGGAAACTGAGGGGACACACAGGGAACACTAATGGGTGTGACGCACAGAGAACTGAGGGGACATTAATGGGTGTGACACACAGGGAACTGAGGGGACATTAATGGGTGTGACACACAGAGAGACGAGGGGACACTAATGAGTGTGACACACAGGGAACTGAGGGGGTACTAATGGGTGTGACACTGAGGGGACATTAATGAATATAACACGTAGGGAACTGAGGGGACTCTAATGGGTGTGACACACAGGGAACTGAGGGGACAATAATGGGTGTGACACACAGGGAACTGAGGGCACAATAATGCGTGTGACACACAGGGAACTGAGGGGACTGTAATGGGTGTGACACACAGAGAGCCGAGGGGACACTAATGATTGTGACACACAGGGAACTGACGGGGTACTAATGGGTGTGACACTGGGGACATTAATGAATATTATATAACACATAGGGAACTGAGGGGACTCTAATTGGTGTGACACATAGGCAACTGAGGGGGCATTAACGAATGTAACACGCAGGAAGATGAGGGGGCAATAATGGGTGTGACACACAGGGAACTGAGGGGACATTGATAAAGGTGACACTTGGAGTGGGCAGAAAAGCAGCAATATGGACCATTAGGCTGGAGGGACGCTAATAAATGTGACACACTGTTTTGGTTTCCCGGCTGCCTCGTCCATCTGGCCTCTAGCAGCCTCGTATTGCAGGGAAGACCCCCCGGGGAGCCGCCGTGCCCACCGCCAC